TTTTCTTAAGCTGAACTTTCTATAGATTTTTAAGACTGTGATCTTGACAGAAAGATGACCCATAGTTTTTGTGCTCAACAAAGAGTTTTAAAAGGCTCACTCAGAGAAAGAAAGCAGCATCTTAATAATACAAACTCATATTTATTTCACTTCTATTCTTTCAGTCCCAGTTCATCTATTAGTGAAACCTGCTTAATTATTTAAAACAGACTTCTTTATTCCCTTGTTAATAAAACATCAGTCATCTTCTGGAAAAAGTGAGGCAACTTAATCTCCATAAAGACACTCAATTTCTGGACTCATCACAATTGAGATATACGGCTGAGAACTCAAGGATTGAAATAAAATACCCATAACCAAAAAGAACAGAGACACAGACAATACAGCACATTCTGTTTTATGTGAAAGGTTACTTTAAGCTGTGAGTCTCCACCTCACAAATCCAAGCCATCTACGTATTCAGTTTGAATTTGCATTAGGTTTTATTCTAATGAAGTCACCATCTCAAGTGTCTGCAGAGAAACAGACTGTGGCCACCACTGAGGGATCTTTACAAAACTGAAGTCTCAGAACACAGCAATAAAACATTCCTTGCAGGTCAACGAAACAGTTTTAAGATCTATAATTTAATAAATAACAGACCTCAGTAAACCACTGTTTTCTCCTGATAGTGGAGGAAATAAAGTAGGTAATCTGACTCTATTCTTTGGTCATGAGAAGACAGAAATATTCCTTAAATCCCAGCCAAAAGAAGATCTACTTGAGTGTTTGGGCCTTTTGGTGAATTTCTCAGCAGGCCCCTATATTTTCACAACATAAAAAGCCACTATTATCACAGTTGACATTTTAAACGATTTTCAGACCTTTTGTACAATTTATACCAGAATACTCCACCTTATTCTGAGGTATCTCCTACGAAGAACTATTATTCCTTTGTCTACTCTGCATCCACGCACTGCAAACATCTTCTACACTGATCTTTAAGCACTGTAATTCCTATGCTTGGCTAGTTGTACCAACAACAATTTTCTAATGGAGAATCTGAAAAGAGTAATAAGTCTGAGCTACCTAAATGAAGTACAGGCATTCCCTTCCATGGAGATAACTGTAGGAATTGAGAACAGTATCCTTTTAGGGGATATGTAGGCAGACCATAAGCTTCACACTGGCCTCCAGCTATAAGTATTGTTTAGTAGCTATGAATAGAGTATCTCCAGTTTCACACTGACTTAACCTAACTGCAGCTTCACAGCTCTTTTCCATGGGTCAGTTTTCTGATGTCACATTTCTCACAGCTGAGCAGCTTTAACTGTTACTGCACTTGAAAAAGATGCACTCATGAGGCTATTTCCAATAGATTTTAGAAATTTCCATAGATTTTAGAAATGTACGTTGATTTTTCCTATCTCAGATGTCAAGCTACAAAAAAAAAAAAAAAAAAAAAAAAAAAAAAACCACAAAAAAACCTGTATTTATTACAAAGACAAAGATTAAAGATCAGTGTAGAAGACGTTTGCAGTGCATGGATGCAGAGTAGAAAAAGGAATAATAGTTCTTCGTAGGAGATACCTCAGAATAAGGTGGAGTATTCTGGTACACAAATTGTACAACAGAGAATTGTTCAGGTTTTATCAAATACACAAGTACTATACTTTTCCACAAACCACCTGGTACCTAAGAGAAAGCATCACTAAAGAAGGTGCACAAGATCACTGCAGCAAAAAGTCTCTATTGTTTAATAGATAGTTGCAGATAGTTGGTTACCCTATTTATTTATTCACACAAGGCTGCTGTCTACCTTTGACATCATCATACTACCCATTTATTGCAGTAGAACTTCTCATGGCTGTTGAGTAGTTTTCATTCTTTGTATACATACAATACATTTGCTATGGGGAGAAATAGAAAGGAGTTCCTGGCAGATTAAATATTAAGTAAATGTGGAAACATGGCTTCTTAAGAACAAACAGACTTTTACTCAAGTGATCTGTATCCTTCAGATGTTTACTGCATAAATCTTTCCTAAATACCAAAATATATCCAGCTGCAGGCTAGCTGAAAACTTCTTGGTTTCTAGCTTCTCAAAATAGTCTCTGGGCAGTACAAAATCATCTTCGTCCACATATTCTTCTATGAAATTATCATCTAAATGCTCAGAACTAAGGAGTGACTTTATTGTGAAAAAAAGGAAAAGAGTTTGTCATATTTAATGACTCTCAACTGGAAATCATTCTCCTGACTCTCTAGCTGAATCGCTCTCTCGAAGAGCTCCTTGCTAAGCAAAAAGTGACCATTACTTAGCTCTAAAATGGACTCTACCAGTTTCAGTATCACATGATTAACTGTACAGAATTATTACAAGTATTTCCAAGCAAGTATCACCTCTAAAAGCAAAACAGTTTCGTTAAAAAAAAAAAAGCAATGTGAGGACAATTTTCAAAGCAGACCTTCCAAAATAATGAAGGCAATAAAATACTCAATTTGCATCATCTGATGGTCCATGGTACTTCTAGGCAAAGAAAAGCATGTCTGCACTGCCTCTCTCTGTCATTCCTTCTTATATCAAAACCAAATATTAGTAGTCAGATTGAGTTACATCTCTGGCATAGACTTGATTACACTGAAAAGCTTGTGTTTGAGGATCCTGCTTCTTTTCCTTCCAAATGGAGAAGGAAAATCTACATCCAGATAAACAGGCTTTGGCTACATTTTCACTCTGATCACTCACAGTCACTTAGTCAGCATTAACACAATTTTGTTGAATTTACTGCTATGAAATCATAGAAATGCTCTGTAAGAAAACAAGCTGTTCAGAACAGTATAAGCTGAAATATGATGTGAAGAGTCTACTAAAGCATACACCATACAATCTTAAATTAGAAACAAAATCCCCATCCAATCCCAAGTCCTGTACTATATTCTTCTTCTGCAATACAAACTTCCCCCAATCTGCTACAGATCTTCTAAACCATTATTTGACTTAATTTCTCTTTTCAAGAGCACAGACTGCCTGTACAGTCTGTACAGACTACAACCACCATTTAACTTTGCACAGAGTTATACTTATCACTACACATCACTGTTGTAATTGTAGTTGGAACTTAAAATCTCAGTCAGGTTCTTACCTGACAGACAACGAAAGCTTCTGAATTGGTGCAAAACTGAAACACCAAAGTACTTCAATATAGATACCAATATTGAGGGAGACTGATAGAAATCTGTTTCAACTACTGTATGAATACACCTACCAGAATACCTGGAAAATCAAATTCTGCAAAGTGTACTGATACTTAAGAGATCAGCGAGCACGCCCTCAGAAAGGACTCACCACGGATACACAACTTAGTCTTGCTGAGAATATCACTCATTCTGGCTGTTACGATCAGACAGTCAGGAACCAATAGAATGTTCTCTGACCCTCGCAGAAAAAGACAGCACTGGAAGATACAGTCCAAGGATCAAAATGTACAGCAAAAGAGTAATGTAATCCATATTCAAACAACAGCAGAGAATTAATGAAAGCTTTTGGAAATCTTTTATATTAAAGATACTCGTTCTCTTTTACAGAACAATCTGAGAATGTTCCTTTAGCCTTCAAAAGACTGCTAATCAATTCTGTAACTTACTTAATGTAAAAAAAATATTAGTAGGAATAGTTTTTGCAGTGTTATTTATTTTGGTTTCATTAAAAATTTCAATGAAAATGTGAAGAAACAAAAACAAACTCAAACACACTTATCACTATATGTTTCTAACAGCTTTGAAACAAAAATAAAATCTGAAAGCTACTTCAATCCCATGTTCCAAAAATATCTTCTCATTTGTAGAAAACTAGCATTCATAGTTTGGAAAACAGATTAAAAAAAAAAAAAAAAAAAAAAAAAACAGAAGAATGCAGTATATCTATACAACATGTGATCTTTTTTCACCAATTGAATTCTCTTGTCTGAGCCTGAGGTGTTCTGGACAATTCTGACACAATCCTAGAATTTTAGAGTAATTTAGCTGAGAAGGCCAAAAAAAAAAAAAAAAAAAAAAAACAAAAAAAACACCACAAAAAGTTCTTCCAAAATAACAAAACACAGAAAGATGATTCAACAGCAATGAAGAGGATGGAGCAGATGTTTGCAGTACAGCGCAATTATTCTTGAACTAATAGCATGGGACTGCTTCAGAAATTGTTTTTGCCTGGTAGGTTTAGTATCCCAGCTATTTTCACAGGCATAAATTTAACACAGTTAACAGATGTTTATGAGTTTATTTTATTAGAAATACAGAAAAAGCATGAAATTTCAGGTAAATATTATTATATAAGCCAAAGGAACCACAGACTGTGAATTAATTCTGATTCAAGTTAAACGTCATGCCAGAAGTAAAGAATTTGAGAAATGTTCATACTGTATATCTCAATGGTCTTTGATACTTACACTGATGGAGATCAAATGCATTTTACAGTGTTAATATACTGAAGATCAAAGCACAGTTCTAGAGAATGCAGGAGGCCAAAGCCAGTGAAGCTTTTCTGGAATCTGGATATGTGACATCATCACATATAAAATTTACATATTTTTGATGGAACTGTTAATATTGCTATTGAGACTCAGAAACCTAGAATTAACAGAAAAATGAAAGGCTAAATTATATAAGACAGTTTCAGAGCTACTGTAAATATCCCATGGCAATGAAAAATTGAAAAGCATTTGCTTCAGGAGCAAAAAAAGTGAAGAACTTTGTGTGTCAAATCCCTTATTAGCTTAACTGGGGCCAGAAGTATTTCAACAAGAAAATTTTGGTCCACTTACAACACACATATATACATGTTTACCTTTTATAATCCCTCTAGAGTACATATCTTAAATAAGTAAAGCACCACATAATTTGCTGAAGAACATGTCCCAGAACATGAACAAAGTCCACCCTCTCTCACTGCAATGTATGCTACTACTAAAGAAACACATGAAGAAATAAGTAATTGAGAACTGAAAGCTTTGTGTACTCACATCTCCATCTAGTGGCCTCTGGTCGTCAGAATCCCTGGTCGGGCTGATGTCCTGCCGCATCACCCAGATAGGCTCCTTCGGTTCATCGGGAGTATAAGGAGAACGGATGGTTCTTGTCTTCACTTCCTCAATAGCCTCTTTAATATCCTTAATGGCTAGTGAAATTGCATCTCTCTTTTCCTTGCTGTACCTCTGCACAGTTTCTCCCGAGCTGGATGTAACTCGAGAACCAGGTGGGAGCTGGCCATTGCTTTCATGCCCCCCACCAGGAAGAGCATGAGCATGCTCCAAACTCTGCTCGGCTTCTGGCATGTCTTCAGCTGCCTTGTCCAAGCTTTGGGAGCTCATGCTCTGCTTCACCTCTGCCACAATCTGATCAATGTCCTCCTCTTGTTCATAACTATCCATCCTTGGGTAGGGTGCAAACTCTGCCTCCTTTTCTGGGCTGTCAGACTCTCCATCAGACCGCTCATCATAATGGTGAAGACGGGCACCAAGGGCCTCCTTGCGGTAATTGTCAGCCTCCTCCCTTTCCCGCTCATACAGCTGGATCCCCTCCCTAGCATCAAGGTCTGGTGTATCCCCTATCTCCTCATACACATGCTCCTGCAGTCCATAGTCAGCGTAAGGCTCAGCATACTGCTCATCCTCCCCTCGGTGGAATAGTCGATGTGTGTAGACATAACCCGAGTAGGCTGCGTTCATGGCTTCCTCATGCTCGATGGAATGGAAGTGTAAGTGATTGGGCAGTGTTCGGTTATGAATGGCCTCGCCATGCTCAGCCTCAGCATTCTCTGTGTATTCCTCAGACTCAGGCCTATACTGCACTGCATACGCACTCTCATCTTCATTCTCCTGAACTCTCTCTGTGTCGTAACTATCCTCCACTGTGGCTATCACATCCCCTTCTGCAGTATCTGTATGATTGTGGAAGCCACTCTCAGTGCTGGCTGACCGAGCTAACATCCCTTCCTCCTCCTGCCCAGGCAGGCCCCCTTGGCTGCTGTTTGTATGCCTTGGATAGTGAGCTGCATACCGCTGCTCCTCTTCCACCTGTGAGTGCTCCAGGTCAGCTTCTACTGACTCATTCACTGCTCCACTTGCTGGCTCTTCACTTACCTCCCCATCAGGCGGTCCAACCAAATGATTCATGGCAAGTTCTGGTGGGTAGGTCACTTACTCTATTGACATTTTGTCAATCACAGCTGGAAAGAAAAGAAAAAGCAACAAACTATGAAGTTACTCTAAGAAAAAGTGGAGACAATGAATAGAAGCAATAAATGGCACCCTTCCATTCCCAGCAGATAAACTTCTGATTCCATCAGCTCTGAAGTCAGAGGACAGCCAGTACTACAGTACAACCTCCTGTAGAAATACTCTCCAAAAGCATGAACAAACCATGATTCTCTTGGGTAGCGCTCTTCCCACTTTTACCAACAAATTCTCTGCAGAAGAATCATTTCCAAACATCTCCTTGGAGCACCTTCTATGGACTGCTGTAGCATTTAAGTGACATTGAAAGGCATGCATTAGAAAAACTAACAATTGCCAGGGGCTCTAACATTGTAGAGGTATGACAGAAATATTCCACCACTTTATCTGGAGCTTACTATCTCTGCATAAAGGAAGAATGCAATAATGTAAAATGGTAGATTTAGTCCTACCACTGCAGTCTGCAATTGGTAAGATACATGACACCTATGCAGACCACATTTCTCTAATGGGGTATCTCCAGCTGAGCTGACCACCCTAACTTCTGAGATCAGCAGAGATAAAAAGAGAGACTCAGCGTGCATCTGAAGTAACCTGTTTCTTCTCCTAGGGAAGCATGTGACAGCTACATTCAACATAGATATCTTCATGGAATCTATCTAAAATTATCTAAGATGGATGATGACTCCTGCACCAAATATCTTTCCTGTAACATGAAGCAGCATTACTAATTCTCACAACCTGACCACAGTGAGACTAGCAAGGCATGTTAGCCTTGCTGACTGATTAAAAGCCTCAAAAGATGATACAAACACTAGAGATGTCTGCCAACAACAAAGCCCACAGAAACAGGAAAAACCCATAAGAATACAGTTTAAAGTATGAGAGTTTCTTAGAGCGAGCAGGCTTATCTACCTCAGAAGGTTTCATTTGCACATAATAGCTTCAGCTATTCTGAACCTTACCCTACATTTTGAAATGTAGTGTCATGAAAAGGGCATCTCCAGAATTCTAAGTTAAACTGTATGTCTGTGGGTAAAATACAACTTCAGCCTGTGTTTTATTGTTGGAATACTTTAAACTTCAAAGATCTATAAAACCATGTACCAAATACTAATTAAAAAATTAAAATTAATGTAAAATAGAAGTTGAAGTCAATCCCCCGAGTACAGACAGAGAGGTTTCGATGGCAAATAGCTGAATAAACAAGCTCCATGAATGAGCATTGGAAATACTGACAAGAAAACAATACCAATTTCAGCTGCCCTCTGTCAGAGAATTTGACAGGCAGGAAAAGCTAGATGGGAACCACTTGCATTGCAGCCGCAGGGGAAATCTAATGGGATCAGCTTCCAGATGAGCAAATACTCCTCCTTGTCTTGTCTTAGCCACACCCATTGCTTTAGTCTAAAACTTAAGAATTCTTACATAAATAAGGAAGTAAGGGAGCAAAATAGAACACTGCCCTTGTTCCAGACTAATCTCATTTTCAGAAACAGTCTGTGCGTAATTCTTGTAAACCTGGCACACTGTGTTTCAGCTCTAAAATTTGACATTTTATCTCCTTCACAAGTGAGGAAGAAGTACAGCGTATCTTAATATCAAAATTGAATTTTCAAAGTAATAGTTAATGTATCACATGAATTGAACAGGTAAAGATTTTCTATACAAATTAATATTGTTTCAAAATAACTATGAGGAAACTCAGTTTGCTTTCTCCATCTAACGAAGATATCCAAGTAAGAAACTTTCAATGACAAGATAAGGCCTTTTGCTTCTAAGGTTTGCTGGAAAGAATGGACAGATGTGTGTCAAAACTACCAAAGCAAGCATTCCTCTGCCCCCAGCACAGAATAAGAAACTGCTATTTAAGGAAATAAGAACAAAAGCTCTCCAGCACTTTCAATTTCAAGCCCATAAAAACAGTGAAGATGCTGATGTGTAACAGCCCCTTGAAAAGTTCATCCCAAAAAAGATTTCCTTTCCCTTAATTTGGACAGAATAGAGGATTACTTACTAATTTTTATTTAAATATGTTGCAGACTCATATTTAAGTATCCTTCACAGAGAAAGGGCAGTATTGCAGAAAGAAATGAAGCTACGCAAAAACACAGGAGAATGACCAACTTTCTGAAATCTTTAACACATATATCCCAGCACACCTTCAACTGAATGATAATAAGTTAGAAGGAAAAATTCCAGATGACACAATGTGCTTTAGGACAACCAAATTTCCAATAGTACCTGAAAATACATGATTCAGTTTTATGAATCTTAATAGGAGAATGCAACACACTAGCTTACTATGGAGAGATAGCATTGTGGACAGATACAGATGTATGAAACAAATTAGAGGGATTACAGACGATACAAAATATTCTAATGACCACCCAAAGGCCTCAACATTTTCTTTACGCAAAATGGATGCTTCCACAGTAAAATTCTTTCACTTACTAAAGAATGATCTCAGACTAATTTCATATACTGAAATTTCCAGGTTACGTCTTTTGAGGGAATGAGAAAACTGTTTCACTTTTAAGCTTTCTCCCAAGGAAGGTCCTTTTCTGGTTGTACTTACTCGGTTAATTAAATTTTACTTTTTAACTTTGGGGGGAAAAAATTGAATATTTCAAAAAGCACTGAAATTGATTCACTAAACCGGGGATCTGAATAGAAGTCCCAATAATCTTCAGTGAGAACCAAGCATCTAAGTATATCCATTCAACTACCTAACAACCAGTCTTTAAATCACCTATTTAAATAATAAGATAGATGTTTAACTAGATCTGTTTTCCTATGTAGAAGCTGAAGACTACTAAAATATTATTTTTCTGATTTTTCCTGATTTTTCTCACTAGGCCTTCCAAGAGCACTTCATCTCCTACAAGCAAACAGAAATCAATACCCTAAATAAAATGCCATAGACAGAAGAGAATATAAGCAAGAAAGGTCATCTGACCCGGGAAATAAAGACAAAGCACTCATCTGAAATGTATCATACTCTCCCATTAATTGCCCGGAACAGCAGCTGTGCTTCAGTAATCACACATATACAGGAAAGTGCTTTCTGAGCACTCAGCTCTGCACTCAAGACTTGATGGATGAATCTGTCTCCAGAACAGAGAAATCAGAGGTTGATTACTAGTGCAACCAGCTTCTTCCTGAAGGTTAAACTACCTCATTGCCCACAAAAAAGAAAAATTAAACATCTCCACATATTTTTCATGCAACAGTATTAAACTGCTTGAGAATTTTTCCTTGCTACTTTACATTAAAGAATATTTAAAATACCAGCAAAAGGCTATGCTATCATCTGGAAACAAGACTACCACATTAATGTTCAGGAAAAATTTCCAATAAGGTAAAAATATGAGATTCCAATTCGATTATTTGTTTCATTCATTCATCTGTATAATCACTTGCCTTCTTATGCATGTTTACTTCATAAGAGTATCTTAGGGTGCCCCCAAAGCAGCCCCTTCTCCCAGCTGAAACAGTCCCAGCATGCAGCCTCCCCTCATAGGGCACAGTCTCCAGCCCCACAGCCCCAAGGCTCGCCCTCCCCTCATGCTCATTCTGTGTGTCTCATGCTGTGAGCACAGCCCCGGCCCCCGGGCCCCGGGCGCCCCCCCCCCCCCCCCCCGTCTGAGGGGCCACATCCCATTCCCACCGCCCCTCACTTCTGCCCAGATGCAGTACTGCCCCAGCTCAGCTCCACGCCACGAAAACCTGGGGCCACCCCTAGTTGCACCCCAGCCCCACCTGACCCAGTCTGCATCACTGAAACAGATTATTTACACACACATTTTTAAATCAATTTTCTCATATATATAAGTCATAACTGTTTCCTCTTATTTCACACAATGTTTTTAAGAGAAAAATTAGTATGTGTGGTGACCTTGTAAGCAAAAAGAGCTTTGTCTGTCCTAGAAGTCAGCTGTTCCCTGAACATGTTTACCCACAACCCCAAGTCACATTAGAAGCAGAGAGACCTCAGGCTGAATTTGCAAAGTCATCACACTGAGTGTAAGCTGTCACAGCACACACTCCACAGAATTTCATAAAGTACTCCAGCAATGCACCAATATTTCACTTGTACAGGTCTTTACAAAAGACAACAAGTAATATTTATTTAAATACAGCATGATTCTCAGTCCCTCAAGAACTATGCTACTTGGTAGCACACACACATTTCACTTCAGGCAGCAGAGGAAGCCTTGGAAAGAAAAAATACACAACGAGAGTAATATTCAGTTAGTCACAGTGCCATAGCAAAAAAATGTTTTCAGTGCAGGATTCATATTCAAATTATGTTACTGAACCTATTTTATATCTAAAATTGCTTCAATACGTTAAACTGTACCAAGGACTGCATCAATTGTACATGATTTCCAAACTCCTTCCCCGCAAAAACACATCAGGGATTAGGGGAGGATTATTCTTGCTCAAGACAAGGCACTGAAAAATACCCATCTCTAAATACAAGCTATATCACTGAAATAAACAAAATGAAAACTGCAGGTGTAGTTACCTATATGCAGAAACACTTACAGTACACACGTACGTAAATATGTGCTTGTTGCCCACGTGTCTTAGTCTTAATCAATAAATAAACAGGTAATATGTTACTCTATTAAGACTGGAAAGGCTGCATTCAGTACTTGACACATTTACTAATTAAAATAAGCTACGTAAATTTCTGGACTAAGATTTCTTACTGCAGAGATTTTTTTTTCTAATCACAACTAGCCTAAAAGAATATGTAGATTCCTAGAAGAAAGGCAATATTCTTGCTATAAAATAGTTGTACACTGGCCCATGCTGAGTAACCACGGCACCTAAAAAATCCATTGCCTAAATGAGAACTGGAGCCAGCCAGGCTCTGTGCACAAGATTCAGGGACTTACCATTCAGGTCTCCCCACAACTGAAAGCACGAGAGACTGAACTTTGGATGTAACAGAGGAAGAAGAAACCATAAATTTATGACCAAA